AACATTTTTATTTTTTTCTAACACATAAAAAAGTGCTTTCTAAAAGAACCCGAATGATTTAGGTTACAATTACGAGTTTAATCACGGGAAAATCCTCCATAAATTTAACATTTTGTTAGTGAGTGGATGATAAAGAAAACTGACGTTATTCAAATTAAAGAGAAAGCTTTCACCGAAACATTTTTATTTGTAAAGGTAACTTAAAAGGCTTCCGAGTAAACTTTGTAACATTATTTGATGAGTAACTGTCACGATGTGACACCTGTCAATTGAAGAGGAAAAAAGCGTCGACTTTTGAAGAAACAACAGTACTGGTATGACAAACACACACGGGTTAAATGACCGTGCGACGATTTTCTTGTACAAAAAAAGCACACTAATATCTTACGGAAAGTACAGTTCATTTCCAACGACAATTAATCTTCGAAGATTTACCTCTGTTCCGTTTTAAAATGTCACGGAAAAATCAAATTGTGAATGAATACAAAATTGTGATTTGGAATTGTAATTCTGCATATTTGTTTTCTGCAATGGTGTGTGTAAATCGGTTTTTCTTCCAGCGAAAAGCTGAAGTCAGTGAGACTCTTTCCAGCTAGACACAAGGGGAATAATGCGACTTTTATTCATCGAATTCCTTCGGTTACTGCTGTGTAATTTACGCTAGAAATGTCCAAATTCAAGAGACTTGTAAAGAATAGGCGGAAGTGTATTTATAGGTGGTTTGCACGTTACGTCATGGCCGCCATGTTGGTGGACGTAAACAATGGATATCTCACTAGCTTCTTTTGTTCGTCCACCAGCATTTGTTCCTCAGATATTAACGAATGAGAGTCACGCTAATTAACGTAATTGTTAACGGCAACTACGTCTCGTTTTAACTTTTTGAGTTACTTTTTGTGAAGGATTATTGAATAACAAATTGTTTTAAAGCCGCGTTTCAATCGTTTTAAAAACAAATGTAGTACCACAAAATTTATTTCGAAATCAACTTTTGCTGAAAAACCAAAGTGATTTGATAGCGAGAGAAAACAAAGAATTAATATTATTTATCGCCAAAAGGTCGTGACCAAGGTCTTTTCCTCAAATATTCTGCCCAGCCAGCAAAATGAGATGTACTAATTTTGTGAAAAATTGCAGGTCGTTGTTTTGTTACAATTATATTTCGACGGTCTTGTCATAGTTATGGTTTTGTGGTTCTTCTAGGTGGCTCACCTTACCCAAGCTGGAAGAAAAATTGCAAACTTACTTCAGGAGGGATACAGGATGCCCAAACCACAACACGTCGATGAAAAGTTGTAAGTTTCTTTTTTAACTCGTTCTCTCTCAGCGCAGAAGAAAACGTTTATTAAATCTTAAACAGATCATTTGAAAATACCAGGTATCAGATCATGATGAAATGCTGGAAAAATGACCCGGATGTAAGACCAACATTCGCTGATTTGAAAAATCAACTTAAGGACATGGAAACCCAACATAAGGTGAGAATTGTGATCAACACGAAAGTTTGTTTTTACGCAAGAGTGACTAGCTTGGGTTTTCAACCTACACAGCATTTACCCGGATGGCTTAGTAATATGTACTCATTTCTTTACTTTTTACAAAGTGCTCCACGAAAAAAAAAAACAAAACAAAAACAAAAACAAACGCAAAAACAAAAACAAAAACAAAATAACAGCAAAGGAGCAAACTAAAATGTTCCAATCACAAACGATACTTTATGGTTATTATTTTAGAGGTCATAAGATATGTATGAAAGCGATCTTTGCAATAATGAACACTACTTATGTATTGTGAAATAATGCCTGAAAAAAAAAACTTCGGGCCGTACGGGATTTGAATCCATGACCTCTGTTCAATACTGCGAGGATCACTTTCATACATTTCTTAAAACCGCAGTATACATACATGAATTTCATATATTCAAACTCATTGATTCATCACTTGAGGAACCCTATTTTTAAATGACGCTGGTTATTATAATTTTAATTTTTTTCTCTGTAGAGGCTGATCAACATGAATATGTACGATAAGCAGTTGTATGCAAATATCGAGGATTTTTTCCTGTAGTTGGATCACGTCCAAGGTGTGATCGGCTAACGACTTGATCACTTTACCGCAACAAGTTTCAGGGACTAATCATCTTTGCCTTAATCTATTGCGTTGTGCTTTTTATATTCTTAAACGGTGAACCACTATTATATGCTTTCAGTCGCTTAACCGATGGAGTATACTCTCGTATAAGCATTTGTGAAGGGTTTGTTGCAAGCAAAATTCTGAAAGGCAGGACAGCGTAATGACATCAGACGACGCGCTTTGATATATTTGTATTGTAACCGTACCTTCCAAGAAAGAATCTTATTTACCAGATAGATTGGATCTCGCTCCGAAGGCCATTGTTGTGTAAATGTTTTAGTTAATTTTTCAGGAACTGTTTTACCGTGAAGCCCTCCTGTCAGGAGGAAAGCCATTGTGCGCATATTATTGCTTTCCCTAAGCTTGTATTTGCTTGCTATACTGAGCTACTCGAAATACTTTTACACTGAAAGTATAAGTGAAATGAGTAGATTTCTTTATAAAACCGCGACTATATTTGGCACGTTACTTGTGCATAGCAGTATGTTATTTGGCCAAAAAGCCCAATATTTTTCGCATACCAGATACTACTTCTCTTCTGGTCCTAGGTAAGAGTTTAAGCCTTATTTTCTAAGAAACGATGTTAATTTCATATTTTAGCAATATTTTTATTATAAGAAAGTGTTGAAAAGTTGGGAGTTGACCCTGTCTGCATGATGATACTATACAGAAGTTTACCCCTGGAAGTTTCGGTTGAAATGCGCAATAGAGCGGAAAGTTTGATGATTAAAGTGAGGAGCCATATTTCATTTTGTACTGAGAAGGCACTCGTATTGTGCGATTTTAGAAACAATTGTGTTCAGGTACTGAGATATATGCAAAGTAGCAATATTATGACTCATACCGTAGCATGCGTATAAGGCACAGGGATCATCGTAGAGCCAAAAATCTAAAAGTGGCGATTTCATCCTTACTTGGTAAACCCCTTGACCGTAACAAGTAGTTCGTTTTACATCCTGAGCAAGAATTGAAAACCTGTTGCTGCATTTTTTTTTTATTCTGGTTCTTTATCATTCGTTGAGTGGTGGAGAACCCGGCGATGGAGGGGCTATTGATAAAATTCGTTGCTGCTGAGCAGTCTTTTGTAAAGTTACTTATGATCAGTTCTGCCAAAAAAGTACACTTTCGCTGACAAAAAATTAGAAATTCATAATTTTAAAGCAGAGAGAAACTCTAGAGGCATGAAAAAAAAAAAGGACTATAATGAAGAATTATATTTTTCCTGGGTTAATTGAATTGAAGAAGGATATCCATAATGGAGTATGATTATTGACTTTGAAGATCAGTATTAACAGATTAAAAGACGATTAACAGGATTCATTCGAAATCTTTCTTCCTTTCTGTTGATAAGAAACAAAAAAAAATTATAAAAATGACATCATTTTCATGTGGCTCACCGTATCCACGAATGAATGGTAGTGATAATGAGAATTTACTTCAGGCGGAATACAAAATCTTAGAGTCTTTAACTCAGCTGCTCAACAGACGTCAAAGCCGCCGTCGACTTGTAGAATCATGATTTAAAATCGTAATTTCCTGAGCCTTTTTCCATAGACATTTGAGAATGAGGAGAGAGTCATTCGACAACTTTCTAGCGCTACGTTCAATTACGAAATATGATGAGGGGAAGGGTATCTGGTGTTCGTGGACAATAAATCTTGGAAAGATAGTTTAAATTCCTCTTCGATTATTTATCGAGTTAGCCAGCAACTGCAGAGTCCGTATAGATTCCGTAATAACGTGTAAAATAACGAAATCCTTTTACGTGCGTTTGATATCGCCAATCAGCCGCTGACACGTCGCTCGCCTTTCGCGCCACTCTATCAGGTCGATGAAGGAAAGACAAAGCCTTCACTGTTCTCAACGTTGTTTTTCAAAACATTCGGAAACTCGTATGGCTCACGACAGAAAAACTAGTACGAAAGAACAGTCGAAGGATACTTACCTGGCTTTGGTAAAGGCATTTCTAGCGGCTGAGAACAAAAATCGACATCTGGAAGATTTGCCACAGGCCGATTTTTGCCGCGTAACAGAAAAGACTTCTTCTGTCGGAGGAAAACGTCAATAACTGAGAAATTTTCAATTCATTTTGTATAATGATTCAACGCATTCTTTCATCATGAGCCTAGTCGTGGACACACTCTAGGGCTTTTTTGCAGATTGTGGATCCTACTTTTTTTCAGTCATCAATAAAGTCGACTTTTCTTATTGGTAAAGGTTTACCTTGTTCATATTATGAACAAAATAATAAATGGTTGCTTGAAGATGTGGAATTTCTCTTCTGTTGTTCAACTCTCACTCGTTCGCTGCGCTCAAATTCGAGGTCGGAGTTGAACGAGCGAAGAGAAATTCCATATCTACGCGCGCTACACATTATTCCCTCTATCGTTTGTTGTTTAAGATTCATGAGTTCCGTGATGTGATACGAAGAGATACACATTATTTATTTAAATGTGAATAAATAAAAAAAAAGGGTGTCATCAATTTTAATGAATTACAGAATCATTTAACTGGACGGTACAACCAGCCAATTCAACATTGGTAACAAAAGGAGTGGACATGTCACTTACATGGAAGTTAACTCGGAAGTTACTTGTAATGAACAGACTAAGAGTCAGACATTTTATTTCATTAGATGGACAAAGTCTAAAGGGACAAGCTCAAATTATGATCTGATTAGCGGAATAGCCTTCGTAAAAGTTACTGGGTCTAGTGGTTAGCTGAACCCGGAGCCCCACATATTAAACACGAAGGCGCGCTATGAAAGGAGAGGTCCCGTAGGTTCCTGGTAGACGAACAAAAGGAGCTAATGAGATGTTTACTTCCACGAGCATGGTGGCAATGATGCAACGTGCGAACCACCTTCTTCGATTTCAGTTATACCGCCACAAATAAAGACAGTTTCCATTCGAGAAAGGAAATACAAAACTCAAAAATTCTTGTATCGTGATGAAAACATAAAACAATTTTGAGGAATGCGCCCGCTTTTCATAGGCTTTGGACTAGCTTTAGCTCAAGCTGACTTGACTCTTAGAGTTCTACATCACACGACGGTTGATTGACAAATGGTCCAGAGGTACCTGAGGCAACTCTCCTTTTATAGCGCGCCTTCGTGTTTAAGATTGACCGTAATGATCAAGCCACGTTACTCATCAATAACGTCAGGACAGAGATGAAGGAACATACAAGATTGAGTACATTGTACAACTTAATGGGACTATTCTTGCTAGTCATGAAGTAAATGTCGCAGTTTTAGGTACAAGTTTAGGATGTTTATTCTTATAGAGGACTTAATAGTTTTTGGGGATAGATATCATATGGCATGAAAAATAATCAGAACCAGTTCGAATAGTTTCATAGCCATGACGGGAGGTCGTGGCTCATAATTGACATGATGCACCCCATATCGTGTATTTGAATCAGTTCTGTACGGCATTCAGTCATCTTCCTGTCACATTGGGCAAAAGTTGGACTAACAATGAACCACTGTTACAGTGAATTTTGCAGAATAGTCTTGTTCGAAATGTTTGAAAGCGAGCCATGAAAGTCTGGCTAGTGCATATTAGGTAGAGGCCTCCTTGGAAACCTCTCGGAGAATCAGTTGAAAAAAAAGGGCTCATACTTTCATTCCCTGCGGAAGGTTCCTATTGCAAATGTTTCCATTGAATTTTTGAGATGTGGCTGCATAAAAATACAGTTTTAAGAAGCACTTTTTGGGGAAGTTTAACAATAGGTCTCGACATCGTTAACCAGACCTATTTTTCTTTGTTTCAAAATTTCTGAACATGACGTATTGAATTTGGTATATTTAAAGACAGAACGCAGTGAAGGATTTAGGATAAAATTCTTTTGAACACATTCCAATGATTGTGTAATCAGGTGAAAAATATTCTTTGTTGCTCAGTCGTATTAACAGAAAGTTTATGACTTTCTTTGAGGACACAGCTACTTAATTCAAAACCATATTATCTTAACGGAACACTCTGAGATTGTGAATGCGAGCAACGATCAGGATGTTTGCGAGGGCTCTTTGGTTACTTTGGGTTGTCATACACCATATGCAATACCCAAAATGTCCGTGAGGTAAAGGGTTCTAATTTATTCAAAAAAGATAAAAACGAGGACGGTCGGGCCTCGAAACAAAATGGCGTCGTTATCATCTCTGCCAGTAGTTTACGACCCTTGCTTTCAAAGCGAAGAAGATGTGCCAGGATCCTCTTTAAACGGACGGAAACCACTTCAGTTGAAGAATTCTGAATTGAAATTGTGGTTGAAATGCCGCGGGGACTCGTGCAAAGGTTTACACACGAAAGCTTTGCTTGTGAAACGGTAAGTTTTTGTAACGCGACTCCGCGAATTTTCCTTCGCACAGCACCACGCAAACACAAAACCTTGGGCCTGTATTATATCTTAGTATTGTATGAAATATCAGTTTTGAAGAACACCTGTCTATCAAGACCATTAATCATTGCTTTATTGTAGTTTATTCAACCGTAAGTTTTTTTATAATTTAAGACTAATGCGATTCCGCGAAGTTTTCCCAATCGTTCAGTTAAACATATAAGTAAAACTCCCAACTTAGTAATGTGAATGTGATGACTAGCTTTTAAAAACCGTAGTTTATCAATTAACTAGTTGTTATATAGATCGCGTAAATTTATTTGTTCACATTTACTCTTCAGAGTTGACGAATACATCAGTAGAGGCCTCGAAGGTCTTATCTATGATCCTGATGAAAACAATGCTTACACAAAGAGGAAAATGCACAGTCTTTCTTCGCAGAGTAGTTATCCGAAGGCTTCTTCTTCAGACTCTACATTGCCTGAACCAAGAAAGATAGCTTTTCCAAACACGGGATGGAACACGTCTTTAGAGTAAGCTCCCTTTTTTACACGAGCCGAAGTTGATCGCCACATTAAAAAGTCTGGTAAAAGGGTTGCGTCACTGAACCACTCAGTTCCTACGGGAATGCAGAGAGCAATAACATATCTGGTAGACGAGTATCTGCACAATATTGAAACAAACAGTGATCAGAGATACTTTTTCTTTAAAGCAAAATGTCATCATAGCTTTAAAGTAAATGAGGCGCCCCATGAGCTCAAACTTGTATTGTGTATTGTGTCTGGGGAAGTAGTATATACATATTGTGGCCCAACCTGTGCCATTGGAAAATCTGGTTTGTGTAACCACATGCTGGCTTTAATGTTAAAAGTCTGCAAGTATTCACTGTATGGGTGCTCAGATGTTAAATCTTTTAGATATGAAGATGATGAAAAACCCACGCCCATCTGCACTTCCACACTACAGCAATGGAACAGGCCTAGGGATCAAGGGGTACAATCCCTACCTGTCATGGATGTGACAGTATCTAAAATGCACTTTGACGATGGAAATAGAACGTCCAGGAATTTCTTCACGGCTATATGAAGCAAGGAAAAATGATAGAAATTTTGATACAGATTTGATACTTTTATTGCATCCCTTAAGAAAATTGATCCAAAACTTGGCCTTGTGCAAGTAGGAAGTACACCAGTACCTGATGTTGAGACTCAATATGGAATGTGCCCTAGAGGTTCTTATGGGTCGTACCAGCTTGGATACACAGAATCCAACTTTAAAGTTTGGGTGAACATCGATTCAATTGATAGAAGAGATATTGATATGAAAAGAGATTTTGTTATGTACCCTTCATTCCCTGTGAAGGATTTTAATTAACACTATGATTTGCCAATACTATCTGATTTGACTGACATAGAATTGACCAAGCTTAACAGTCTAAAGGTAATTTATTTTTACTGGTGCTACCATGTATCAAATTATTTTCAAAATCAAATGATGATTACTATAATCAAACTTGAAGCTTATAGTATTAGTATTTTCAGAAACTCACAAGGGTATTAAATTTTTACAACAGGTAGATGATACGAAGACACAAAGAATTGAAGAACAAACAAGAACACAGAGTGAATCTCAGACATGGAAAGATGAAAGAAAATTCAGGATCACAGCGTCAGATTTCCATAGAGTAAAAATTAGGAAAAGAAATCATGGAAAGCTATCACAGGATATGCTATCTCTAAAATCATTTAGCACTGAAAGCACAAAACATGGTTTGAAATATGAAAGCACTGCTTTAAGAGAGTATGGTAGGTACATGGAAAGATCTGGAAAGCCATTAAAAGTTCTATGTAGTGGTCTATGTGTATCCAAAAAGCACTTCATATTGGGAGGTACACCTGATGCCAGAATAGTTGATCCAGGTTGTAGAGAACAGTTTGGAATAGCTGAAGTTAAGTGTCCACATTCAAAATTTTCTGTGAACCCTTTAGAAGCTTGCTCAGATCCTAGCTTCTGTTTAGAAGATGTAGGGGGTATCTTGACATTAAAAACAAACCATGCATATTACGACCAAGTGCAGGGTCAAGTGGGTTTGACTGGTGCATCCTGGTGCGACTTCATAGTTTATACCAGAAAGGGGTTAGCTATTACAAGAATTGCATTTGATGAGCAACACTGGAGTACATTAAGGGAAAAATTATGTCAATATTACTTTAAATATTTTCTCCCATTGGTAGCAAAGTCATAGATATGGGTATGTGTGGTTTCATATTGGCCTGATCAAACCAAGTATAGCTACAATCAGTCCAAAGTGAAATATTGTGATTGAAAATCATTCTTTAAATCCTTTGTGTAAGAACAGTTTTCAAATAGTAGAAAAACACCATTACCATGAAATGGTTTGACAACTTGTCAAGTTTTGCATATGACAGTGTTAACTCACATTTTCCCTAAAAATCATATTATTTTGATCCTAATAAATGTTTGCTATTCCAGAAAAATATGCTTCAGTGTTGGACTGATAATTAATATGATTATTATGTCTGCATCTCTAAATAATTCAAAACAGAATATCACCCTTTTTCACTGTTATGAATCTTGTCTGTCATATTCACAACTTTTGACCTAAGTGTACAACCATACATTAAATTCTACAGATGTTAATAAAATATGAACACCATAATAGTTCCATAATCTTGTATGTACTAATAAATGGATTTTGAAGATTGCATAAAAATGCACAAACTGACCACATCTGATTGACTTTGCCAAATAAATTAATAGGAGTTACCCTATCCCAAGTGTGGAAATTCTTATTTTGTTTATGGCTCTTTCCACATGCACTCTTAAAGATGCAATTGTGTGTCAACAGTGTCATTTGCACTAAACTGCACCTGGTCTCCTAAAAATGGTGTCATGTTCAATGAAACCCCTGGTTGAAGGAGTTCTTGAATAAGGAATCCCTTATATGCCATCACAGAGTCGCCAACATCAAACATTTGCTCTAAGAATCCACTTCGCTCAACAATTTCTCTATCCGAAATTCTTCCTGTATAAAGTGAACTGATAAAACTTATGCTCCCACCAGGTGTAATGCCCATAAGACCTTTCAGGGTTGTGTGGTTTTTATAGGAGCTATAAAGCTGACTGTTAAGTAAAAGACTCGAGGGCATTTGACATTTAATCTCCGTACAGTCTATGATGACTCTTGTATTTGGATATTTATTTTTAAAATCTTCTGGCATATGTTGATCAACTTGTTCTCTTGAAGGCCAAATACAGATCTTACTAGACGAGGTATATGAAAGAAATCCGAGAAACTATTATTCGTGATACAGTAGACTGGTGGATTCCATACAAATGGGATAGATGGTCTTCTGGGAATCCCTGCCTAAGTCTACAGAGGGTTAGAAAGAATTCTTCTTTGGGATCAAGTGATCTTGGCTTACCAGGCTTAGCTCCACTGTAATTATTGTCTACATACGATGCATTCTTGTACTTTATGTTTTCTGGTA